ACCCCTACCTCCTGGAAAATGAGTTTTAAACACACGCACGCCGACGCTGGCTGAGAGATCCATAGCTCTTAGTACAAAGGTATCAGAAGAAGGAGACCATAAAGCCAATTTATAACACATCTGCGCACGGCTGGGTCTGCAGGGGGCAATGCACTTCGGTCAATACAGCTTCAGGCAGCTACAACTCTCCGAGATGAACTTCTTGCTTGAAAGGTTACAGACCCCGCACGATGCAGACACGAGCCTCCCGCTCAACATAAACCGGGCCGAGACACAACGTAAAAGGGAGAAGAGTTACACAGTTACATAGTATTTGAGGTTGAATAAAGACATTAGTCCATCAAGTCCAACCTATTAGGATCTCATTCTTAGGAGTACCTGTACCCCTGTATATTACCTGTACCCCTGTATGTTACCTGTACCCCTGTATATTACCTGTACCCCTGTATGTTACCTGTACCCCTGTATGTTACCTGTGCCCCTGTATGTTACCCGTACCCCTGTATATTACATGTACCCCTGTATGTTACCCGTACCCCTGTATATTACCCGTACCCCTGTATATTACCTGTACCCCTGTATGTTAACTGTACCCCTGTATATTACCTGTACCCCTGTATATTACCCGTACCCCTGTATATTACCCGTACCCCTGTATGTTACCCGTACCCGTGTATGTTACCCGTACCCCTGTATGTTACCTGTACCTGTGTATATTACCTGTGCCCCTGTATATTACCTGTACCCCTGTACCCCTGTATGTTACCTGTACCCCTGTATATTGCGGTCCCTTAAGAAATCGTCCAAAAGTTTCTTGAACAGTTCCACATTATTTGCTGAAATCAGCGCCTGCGGCAGTGAGTTCCAGACCCTAACTGATCTTACTGTGAAGAACCCCCTTCGCCCCTTGTGCTGGAATTTTTTTTCCACCAATTTTAGGTGGTGGCCTCTAGTCTTTGTAATGGAGTTAATTTTAAACAGTTTATCGCTAATGTTGCTACCACCATTGAACATTTTGTACATGGAGATCATATCCCCCCTTAATCTCCTCACCTCTAATGTGAACATGTTTAAATTTAGTAGCCTTGTCTCGTAGCTCTGGTCCTCCATACCCCTAATTAGTTTGGTTGCCCTCCGCTGGACTTTTTCCAACTCAAGGACATCTTTTCTTAGTACTGGTGACCAGAACTGGACCGCGTACTCCAGATGAGGTCGAACCAATGATCTATAAAGCGGTTATATTATTATATGCCCGTGGACCGAATTGGAGATTAGCTGTAACGCATGGCTGTTTCTATCATCAGATACTGTCGGGGGGTCGGTGGCTATGAGAGAGAGGGACGCGGAATACAGGGGTGCTCCAACCCTATCTAAAAAAAAAAAATCTTTCTTTGTTCTCTTTTTTTAGATGATCCTTTTTTCTATTTTTTTTTTAAAATAATCTTTATACATTTTTTAATATGTTAAAATATTTTTTTTTTTACATTTTATATTTTAAAAAAAGTACACTTTGTGTGATCCCGGAATACCTTAAAAGTCAGAACTTTTTTTCTTTGATACAAATGATTGGGATGCGGTACTCCCTCCTCTATGCACACCTCACGGTATGATAACTTTATTGACATTAGATAAACATGTTATCACAAAAGATTGCAACATTTCACAAAACAGTGCGGTCCCTTCATCGGGTACAACAGGTGTAACGGACGCAGTGAATATAAGGCCTTATTCACACCAGAAAAAGCCGGCATGTACGGCGTGCTGCGCGCACGGCCGTATTGTGCAGCTCCCGGGAGGGACAGGTGCTGCATGTGATTAGTACGCAGTACAAAACACAAAAATTCCCCAGCCTCAACCTGCCAGCCAGCCTGCAACCAAACAGGTAGCCCTGTCAACAGTATGCGTTAAAATCAGAGGTTTTAGTTGCACAAACTTTTGGCCAAAAATATGTAGAAGCCACACTGCCGCGCCAAGGCACCTCTGCAAAGTGTGGTACTAACTCTATGTATCCGAGTCTCCAAGTGTGAGCATATTAATGAAGTCGATAGATTGCATGCAGGTATACCAGGGAGGTGGCCTACTCCTCCTAATAAGGTGCAGGGATGCACTGGAGGCCCAGCAACCAAAAATGCACGCTGGGACTCCAGTGCGTCCCCCTAACCCAAAATAGTCAAACTAGAAAAAATGGTACATGCATGAATCTATAACCGGCCTTTATAGCAGGGCGCACATTGGGAAGGCTTACAACAATACAAAACACAAAAATTCCCCAGCCTCAACCTGCCAGCCAGCCTGCAACCAAACAAGTAGCCCTGTCAACAGTATGCGTTAAAATCAAAGGTTTAGTTGCACAAACCACACTTTGCAGAGGTGCCTTGACGCGTCGGTGTGGCTTCTACATATTTTTGGCCAAAAGTTTGTGCAACTAAACCTCTGATTTTAACGCATACTGTTGACAGGGCTACTTGTTTGGTTGCAGGCTGGCTGGCAGGTTGGGGCTGGGGAATTTTTGTGTTTTGTATTGTTGTAAGCCTTCCCAATGTGCGCCCTGCTATAAAGGCCGGTTATAGATTCATGCATGTACCATTTTTTCTAGTTTGATTAGTACGCAGCCCCCGTCCTTCTCTATGGGAGTACGCCGCCCTACGCTCACCCGCCCTGCACGTCCGTGCGGGTGTCCGTACTCGTACGCAGACAGGATGGATCCTGTCTGCGTCCGAGCCGGGACACCCGCACCTGTACGGAGCTGCACTTGGGGTGAGCGTAGGGCGGCGTACGGCCGCGTACTACCATAGACAAGGACGGGGGGCTGCGTACTAATCACACGCAGCCCCTGTCCTTCCTGGGAGACGCCCGATACGGCCGTGCACGCAGCACGGAGCTGTATGTGCCGGCCGATTCCTGTGTGAATGAGGCCGAAACAGCTTTTTTTTTTTATAGCTGGAGGTTACATGAAGGGGTTAAAATGTGTGCCTGGTTCAGGTTTGAGGCACTTTTTTCTAGTCTAACGCGGTTCATTTCCATGCGAACTGCACCACAAAATGTCAAATCTCAGAAAAACACAGCAGACGAGAGCTATGTCACTGAAGACGGTGACACAAATCTCTCTGAACTTTAAGTGCAGTTTTAATGATTTTATTAAAAAAAAAAAGAAGAGAAAAGCTTTTTTTTACTTTCGCAGGGGGAAGAATCTTTGACTTTTTTTGAAGTTGACAAGTCGGCTTCTGCTGCACACTTTTCGGAAATGCGAGGGACCGGCGTGGAAAATGATGATCATTTTTGGGGGATTTAGCGCAGAATGCCAGCCCTGTCCCTCAAAACGACACTGCGGGGTAATCGGCGGCATAGCAGCCCTTCCGTTGCTCGGATTCGGTACGTGGTTTTCAATCTCGGCAGCAAAAGCAATTATACGCGAAGCGGCCCCCTGAACGCTCCCGGAAGCACCCCTGTAGGAGCCTCTACAGCGCGATTACACCTGCCAAGAGCGCAGCCCGACCTGACTCAGCACATCTCTCCTTGTTGCTGCTCCGGCTTCTTCTCCGCTAAAAGGGGGGGAAATATCGGAAAACGCCGTCCGAGGTGCCCTTACCCGCTGCAGGAGGAGGAGGAGGCGTTCGCCTTTGAAAGTGAAAGGGTTAATTGGAGTGCGCTCCCCCTCCCCCCTCCCC